GGGGGGGGGGGGGGGATTGATAACTTACACCTGGCAAATCCCCTGTAGGAAACTTGCCCCACCCACCTTGCTAAAACTCCGTTCTACGGCAAACCATTTATTCTCTTTTAAAATTCAATAATTTAAAAAAATCGTTTATTTAGTGTACCTGCTTTTTTATCAAGGACCCCTTCATCTGATCACATACACCTGGATCCCGAGATGTGCTTGCAATAGCGCTGGCCTGTGACAAAGCCCTGAAAATAAAGATTTTTTATAAAATTTCATAAAATTTAACAATAAGTTTCCGATTAAGCACGGAAGAGTGGTTAGTTTATGTATCGAAGACTGGGAGAGTGCCGGTGACATAATGACGATGTGATATTTCACAAGTTGGTTCTGCTCAATAAACCCGCTTTTATGCGGTCATCGTGCGAGCACTGGCGGAGCTGAATCCGTTCTAAATATTCCTCGGTTTAAAATATTACCATCTTAAAATTATGTTTTGTAAATGTATCAAGGCAGGGGATTCCTTACTAGAACTGGGTGGTCTTTATACGTCTCTCTCTCTTACACAAAAATATGTATTAGATACTCATTATTAATCAAAGTTTGTGAAACCTCGGAATTTATAAAATTAATGGTGAATTACGGGACGAAATTGCCGCCGAGCTGGCCTAGATGGATGGATAGGTTGGGAACCGAGATCAATGAGCTTGTAATGAAGCCCGGAGTCAGGTTTACACCCACCTCATCTCATCCCACCTCTAGTGATAATTACACGGTTGGATATCTCGCTAAAGGAATAATTGCTCACATGGGGTAATTATATACGCCTACACCTGAGTATTATGCATAGAAAAAGCATAAACGAAACTTAAACACCTTCCTGCAGCCATAATATCAGGCAGGGTTGGAGAATATACATCTTCATTGTCTTTAATGAATCGATAGGAAAGGGTAATTGAAAAAATTCTGAGAACTCTAAATAAAGGAACTGCATGGTTTACAAAGGTGTGTTGGTGTTTGTTAACTCCTACTTGGAGTAAGGTTTGTTTGCTCCTGGAGTTTACTGGGAAGTGAGTAATTCTCCGTCCTTCCTCTGGATTTAAAAACACTATAAGTCAACATTTGCTTTACAGATTTTTCTTTCACTTCCGTTTACAAGTTTAGAAAGAATGTACATGTAATAAAGTAAAATATGTACGGTTCATGTAATAAATTATTTAATAAAGTAAATATTCACAGTTTTTACGTTTTTAAAACCCCAGGTTAGAACTAGAACAAATTAAGTTGTGAATACCTTCACGTTTTCTAAAGATAAATCGGCTAATTAGTACAGCCTTCACTACAGACTCTTCAGGGGTATTCAATTCATGAAACATCTCCTTCTTTGAAGTGAACTATTTACTCCGAGTACTAGATGAGTAGGGTTCTCCGCATGAAGTCCCTAAACTACCTGTTTTATATCCAACTGTTATCAAGTGGTTTATCAAGACATTTTCATGCATTAACAAAGATTTAAGGTCATTGATACTTTCTTCAAATTCAGGAAAATTTTAACATTTTTAAGTTTTGGAAAACATTATGAAAGTTTCCCACTTTCTTTTCTTTGCTTTTCCATTAAATTTAAGTCATTTTACAATTTTTTTGGACAGTTTGCCCCACCCCCTTCCT